CAGTTTGGTTTCAGACCCAAACTTCAACTTACCGCCCTGGTTAACACTGTTTCTTCCTTCAAACTAATCAAACACGTTCCTCAAGGTAGTGTTTTGGGTCCACTACTATTTCTTATTTTTGTTAATGATTTGCCATTTTGTATCAACGATTGTAAAAGATCCTTATACGCTGACGATGCTGTGAAATATTTTTCTTCAAACAATGCTTGCGATCTTGAAATGAAATTAAATTCCGATCTAACACACTTATGCAGATGGTTTAACGACAATCTTCTGACACTTAATGTCTCCAAACGTAAATTTGTAATTTATGGAAGTTCTTACAAAGTCGCCAAATTTGGCAATGTCTCCATCACGGTTAACGATTCCATAGAATTGATCCGGATCCCTTCAAATACTTAGGAGTTACAATTCAACAAAACTTAACCTGGTCATAACATATCGACAACATCAGCAAGAAGTTTAATCAACGTCTTGATCTTATTCGCCACATAAAATTCCTACTCCCTATACAAGCCAGGCTCACATTCTACAACATCCTTGTCTCCCTCTTTTGGACTACATGTAGTGATATCATGTGGGGAGACAAAAACGAGTCCACTCTAATGAACCACCTTCAAGGTCTGCAACATAACGCTGCGAGACTTATCCTTGATCTTCTTCGCCATTCCTCCGCTACCGAAGCCCTTGAAACTCTGGAGTGGAAACCAGCCTTTACCTACGTGTCGAAAATACCACAGTTGTATCTCTGTCTTTAAATGTCTTAACGATGTAGTCGATTTTGATTTTAACCTTACCATGATCTCCCATATACATAGCCATAAAACACGCCAGGATAACAACTACTACCTTCCACGTACGCCCACGTACGAATTGGGGAAAACAGCAATTCATTTATCACTCGGTATCGGAATGGAATTTATTACCTATTGAACTGAAACAATCTACTAATCTTAATCTCTTTAAATCTAATTTAGCTAAATTAAAACAATTTATCTAATTAAGTTGAACAATTTATCTATGATATCTAATTAAGTTGAGTCTAACTATGAAGTATAATGATATATAATCCGACCATTTGTAAATATTTTTGCTGCCGCAGCGAGCGAGCCTTAAGCGAGCGAGCAAGGCAGCAGACCTAAATCATGCAGTGTGCTTTTTTAAGAAAACTTGCCGCCAGGCATTGTGGTTGGCGACCAGAATTCCATGTCAAAAAATGCTAAAATATTGTATTAAGTTGAGAAATAAGATTGCTTGCCACTACTACAATGTGTTATAATTGACTTTTCTGGGTTGATTTGGGGGTGATTCAATCTGCTTGAGATACGAATACTTAATAAGGAAAAAAATATTTATCCTTATTTTTTACTCCTTATGTTATATATTTTATCGTTCGAATAGTTTTAAAGGACAATGGCAACAAATTTTTTATTGTCTATATTAAAAGTGTTGCTTCATCTAGCTATGAATATGATATTAATACCGTGTGAAACATTTTTGTTCCGGAGTTATAAGCACATTATTTCACTGTTAATTTATATATGGTCCGCCATCTTGGCCCGTATTTGCGAAAAATTATCTTTTTGGGTAACATGACCCGTATGACGTAGATGGCAGGGTAGAATCAAAACAACAATATATTTTTGTATAGCGTGTATCGAGATTTAATACGTTTTCTCAAAAAATTAATGCTTTTGAGTCATTTTAATGGAAAATATTCACGAGAACCAAGTAGGGGAAGTGTTATCATACCGATATGAACCAAAAGTAGGAGAAAAACAAGCAAAAATATTTTAATTTGGAGATAGGTATAAATATAGGACTTCTACATGCGTGGTGCGTCTTGGACCTTTGGTTTGTGGTTTACTTATAATCATTTATTTAATGGATTTCTTTTATTTTCAACAGGGTATTGAAAGTACACCATGCCGTTAAATATTGTGTATTAGGTGCACGCGTACATGCGTGCGCTGTTTTGTGTCTTTTTTGTGTCTTCAGTTATCTCAATCCATTGTAGAAATAGTATACCACAATTGAAGCTATAGTATGTAGTATGTACTGTAAGTAAAGTTATTACTTGGCAACGCTTCCCTTTTCAATTGTATTCTAAACGTTTCATTGCACTGTATTCGTTTTAAAAACTTTGGCGACTGTTCATACTCGTCTTCGGCAAAATGAAGTGAGCATATATTCTGAGTAGTGCACGACGATCATAGACGACGATGGTTTAAATGCTTTGCGCTTACAGAATTTAATCCACGCGTTTCTCCTATATTGCTGATCTACCGATTTGCCCTTTGGAAAATTGAAGAAACGGATTTCACTTGTTTGTTGGCTGTCACTATTACAACCGTAGACAGTACATGTTTTGCAGTGGACCTTACGTTTTACATGAACAATCTTGATCTTTTCGTTATTCAAGTCGTAGGCTACTCAGAGCTTACTAATATTTGCAATTTCGGTTATATACTGCATATAGTATAATGTACCACACGTAAATTTAGGGTATTTTACATAACACAATGAAAATATTGATAATATTGGGAACTACTGCAGTACATGCATATATTTACCTATATAAAATGACAACCAAGTAAAACTACATGTAAAAATACATCACAACATATAACCAGATTATGGTTATTTTACACTATCTCTAATCTTTTTAATTAAGTAACTTACCCAAGGTTACGTCGTCCGGCATATCACGAATCTAATGGCTGGGAAAATCCCATACTGACCTTGAATTTCTAACTTTCGCGACACTAAACATTACAGAAGAAGCAAATCTTGTTTGTGAGATAACAGCTATTTCACGAGCAATGTCGTTTGAAAGCCTACTCAGTTTTAAAAGCAATTATTATATATAGTTGTGAAATCTGAAGCTAAATTAATATATTATGTTGCCGCCGTGCATTACATGTTAAGTACCTGTCATGATTTCGATTCAGCCTTGTATAAAATTCGTGCAGTCAATGTTTTTCAAAGGTTTTCAAATTTAACGGCCAGTGAATTCTGGCACGAGATTTTAAAATGCTTCGTCTACGGCTGGTGGGCCTTGTGGTTGCGATTATCCACTGCAGCCTTGTTGCAGTTCCACCAGTTGGTTGAATTATTTTTGTATTAATAATAATAACAACACTTTGAAACACTAAATACTCAGTAGAATCTTTTGTTCCAATGCAAATTATTTCTATATTTCTGCAACAGAGCATGCACATACATAAATGTATATGCCATACATACATACATACATTTGGAATATATGACATGTAATTGGACAGCAGAACTACCATAACCGGAGTCAATGTCTAAGCGCATTTTACAACGCAAACATACGCTTTACTGTCGAAAACACAGTCACATATCATTGGTAGTGAGCTGCTACCCATTTTTTGAACTATTAATACACGTTATGATGTAAGTGTAATTTTTTTGTAAACATTTTCTTTCAAATCTCAACGTTGTTACAGTGTAACTTATATTGTGGCATGTGCGTTTACCCTGCCATCTACGGCACGAAATGTATTCATGCATTAATAATTCAAGCACGTTAGGTGAAAGAACAGCCCGAAAATAAGTAAACACACACCAAATCATTGTGGGAGAATGGGTTCAGGGTGAAGTGAACCAATTATATACATTATACTCTCAAACTCTGGTAAACCCAAAGACTCATTAAGCCTTATGTTTTCATCCTGCCGGCGTATATATAAGACCTGCTAGGAGAGACTGAATGCTCCATAGGAGCTCTGCCCGAAGGGTAGCGACCCCCTCTGACATAGACCTGAACCAAGGGGTGATAATCCTCTTGGACAGTACCTACGATTCGACTGATTATATTTACATAAATAACCTGAGTCTATGAGCCTGAAGTTGACCATTGGGAACACTTCAACCCCGAACCAAAATTTATTTGTTTGAACATTTAAGTATTTACATAGCGATAATTTTCCATGAGAAAATTGTTCGATATTCTTTCTTGACAAATTGTTCTTGAACAGTCCTCGCATAACATTAGTTAATACCCATACAATGCACCAGATACCAGGAACATGAACGGGTGGGTGGGTGGAAATTTTCTTTCTCGGTAACAAGACATTGCTCTTTGTTGGGATATTTGTCAAAGTGAACTCCCTTATCACATTGACCTTTGTTCTGCGTGTTCGTTGTTGACATATGATTGGTCAGTTGATCTTTCAATCGGTTTTACACATGCCCAGAGAAACATTTGAACTTTGGACTATTGGATATCGCCTTTTTGTGGCTGTTGACAAGCTTATCCTGTTACTATGAGATTATAACCAGGTTTGAAGGTGACAAACGTGTGTCTCATTAACTTGAATTTATATATTGTTATATATAAATTTGCTTAAATTAGCATACGCGGAATTTTCCCAAGATGGCGGACGACTGTTAAAATTCGTTAAACATTTTCGCAAATTATCTGAAGAACTAAATGCAATGGACAAACAAAAATGTGAAATTAAATATTCCATTAGTAAGCTTATTAAATACAGACAATAAAAAAATTTGTTGCCATTGTCCTTTAAATAAATATGTTCTAAAGTACGCGTGTGTGTTCTATTTCCGCTGGTATTGTTCTGATAGTATACAGTCCCCACGAAGCGCAACTGTCTTACGGTGTAAGACAGAAAAGTGCATGCGAGCCGGATAGATTACGAAAGAAAGAATCGAGATAGATACGACAATGCCGTTGGACGAGCTGACAAAGGAAAGAAGAACACGCGCAGCGCACAGAGGTTCAGCAACGAAGAAAGGAACGAAGATTAAAGGATGTTTAGTGAATGCGAGTGAAACGCCTCAGACGGACAAGAATGTGCTCAAACAGCTGAGAGACACGAATGACCGTTGACTCAGGAAGTCAACGGTCATTTGTTACGGGCAAGGTAGCTCAGAAGGCAGGAGTGCCAGTAAAGAGGAAGGAATGGGTAGAAATTAGAACGTTCGGACACGAGAAGTGTTTGAATTGAGTGTAGCCTCAGTACAGGAGGGAGAGAGTGTTAGCATTGAAGTTTATGGAGTAGACAGCATTTCACAGATTAGAAATGAGCATGTAGAGACAAGGAAGAAAGATGACCCACATTTGCAAGGGTTATGGTTTTCCGATGTTTGTAAGACCAAGAATGTGTTAGAAATAAAGTTACTAATTGGCGCAGATTATTTGTGGTTATTTCAAGAAGGGCGTACGGTTAGGAGCAAGAGTGATGAACCCGTTGCGGTACAAACCAAATTAGGATGGGTGTTGTCAGGTACACTGAAGAGTAGTTCTGAAGATGATGATGATCCTACATCGTGTGCACAGGTAAGAGTAAACCTTATTGGGCATGTAACTTCATCAAAGAATAGGTCCATTAAAGCATGTGTTGAATAATTATGGGATTATTAAACGCTAGGTATAAAGCATAAAGAGGAAGCTAGTGAGTTATTAAATGATTCAATACATTTCAATGGCCAACGATATAGGAAGGAAGGGCATAGTTTAGGAAGGAAGGGCATAGTTTATTGCCAACTAATTAAAGCTGTAGTGTGCAGAGATTAAAGGGACAGCTTTTAAGATAAAAGAAGGAGCCAGAAGTTTTACAAGAGTATGACAGAGTAATTAAAGAACAATTAGAGCTAGGTATTATAGAACCAGTTGTAGAATTAGAGAGAGCTGATAAGATCCATTATCTACCACATCATGCTGTGGTTCGTAAACATGCAAAGACCACTAAGGTCAGGGTTGTGTATGATGCATCGAGTAAAGAGACTAAGAAGGGTGTATCTTTAAATGACTGCTTGCATGTTGGGCCACCTCTATCCCCGTTGTTGTATCACATTATATTGCGTTTTAGAGAAAAGCGAATAGCGCTTGTAGCAGATATAGAGAAGGCTTTTTAAAATATTGAAATTGACCCGTGTGACAGAGATTGATTGAGGTTTCTTTGGGTGGGCAACAAGATGAGGTGAGGTCAGTCGAGTATAGATTTTGTAGAGTTGTTTTTGGTGTGAACTGTTCACCATTTTTGCTGAATGCCACACTTCAACACCGTCTTGACCGCTTTTCGAAGGGTAATCCTGAATTGACTCGAAAGTTGAAAGACGGCTTTTATCTGCGTTGATGATCTGGCAACTGGAACCCGGAATCCAATCAAAGGAAGAAATCAAGCCTGATAGAGGAAACTTGGCATGTGAAGAAACATTTGCTAAGTCATCCCTTTGCATGACAGGCAAGAATGATACATTAGAGAAAGTCCTTGCGTTAGCTTGGAATTGTACAACTGATATGCATGCAATTAAGATAAGTTTCAGTTTTTGTTTCAGGGTTTAGTTGATCACAACCTGTTATCAAACGCAATATTCTTAGAATATTAGCTGGGTTGTTTGATCCATTGGGAATTCTTAGGCCAATGGTATTAAGTATTAAGATGTTGTTTCAAGCACTGTGTTTGGACAAAGTAGATTGGGATTCTGAACTAAATGGAAAATATTTGAAGCAATGGTTAGGTTAGGTTCATTATCTTGAAGTTGTAGGTCAAATTATGATACCAAGGTGTGTGTATGGAAATCGAATTGGAAAACCCGAATTTTCATTACATGGGTTTGGTGATGCTAGTTTGAATGCCTATTGTGCAGTTGTGTATTATGTCTGTGAATTAAATGGTAATTATCATGTTGAACTCCTTACTTCAAAGACTAGGGTAGCACCAATTAAAGCACAAACTATTCCTAGGTTAGAACTGATGTCTGGATTAATTTTAGCTTGGTTGATGGATACAGTTAGATCAGCACTTTCAGTTGATGTCGAGATAAGCAACACCTACTATTGGCTTGACAGCAAGACAGCACTGTGCTGGATCAATAACCAGGGCGAGTGAAAACAGTTTGTCAGACATAGGGTTAACGAAATTTTAAGACTGAGTAAAAAGGAAGAGTGGGGACATTGCCCTGGCCTAGACAACGCCGCAGACCTAGGATCACGAGGGGTATCCCCATCCAGATTGAAGGAGAGTGCACTTTGGTGGAAGGATCCCAATTGGTTGTTAGGTCCTCAAGTAGACTGGCCTGTTGCTACAGAGATTATAGAAACAGAAGATAGTTTGAAGGAAGTTGAGAAGTCGGTCACAATGACAATGCAGGTTGATAGTGAATCAGCCAGCTTAGGGAATGTAATTGATATTAAGGCATATAGTAAGCTTAATAGGTTAATAAGGGTAATATCTTGGGTAATGAGATTTGTGCAGAATGTAAAGGGAAATTTATTTAGGTAATTAATTTGACAGTAGAGGAGATAAGATATGCAGAAAGTGCATTGATCAAGGATGCTGATCAAGTCAGTTTGAGGAATAAGAAAGATTTCCAGCATTTAGTAAAACAGTTAGGTTTGGTTAATAGAGATGGAATTTTGAAATGCAAGGGTAGGAGGCTCTCTAATTCAGTTTTAGAGGAAGCAGCTAGGGAACCAATTATTCTCCCGAAGCAACATTGGCTAACAGAGTTGGTTATATCTGCATGCCATAAGCGAGTTCATCATTGCGGGCTCAGAGCTACTCTGGCAGAATTGAGAGATAAGTGTTGGGTACCACGAGGACGTCAAATAGTGAAGAAGGTTATCGGTAAGTGTGTTGCCTGTAAGAGACATGGGGGTAAGCCTTATGGAAAACTTGATGAGACAGGTGTACCGGACTTCAGGGTGCGGGAGTCACCACCATTTTCTAAAGTTTTGGTTGACTTTGCTGGACCGTTGTATGCAAAGGCGGGTGATGAAATGGTGAAGGTGTACATAGCGTTGTTCACGTGCTGTGTCACGCGGGCAGTTCACTTGGATTTGGTAAGAAATCTTATAACGTGTGTCTAGTTTTTTGAACTGTTTGAGGAGATTTGCAAGCAGGCGAGGGGCACCGACGCTTATTGTTTCAGACAATGCTAAAACGTTTATGGCAGCACAGAAAGCAATGAAGAAGTTCTACGAGAGCGGGAATGTCAGAGCTTATATGCAAGATAATTGTGTGAAATGGCAGTTTAATTTAGAGAGAGCCCCTTGGTGGGGAGGATTCTTTGAAAGGTTGGTTGGTTTGGTGAAGAGGTGTTTACGTAAGGTGCTGGGGAATGCCAAGTTGACATTCGAAGAACTGTTGACGACTTTAGTTGAGGTTGAAGGCGCGTTGAATTCTAGACCGTTAACCTACATTTACGAAGAGGTTGAAACGATGTGCTAACGCCGAATCATTTGATCTTTGGTCGTAGATTGAGTTTAATTCCAGACGAGACAAGGTACAAAATTGAAGCGAATGATGCAACAAAGGTTAAGCGTAGGCATCTAGCGAAACTGCGAGTTCACTTTTGGGAGAGATGGAAAAAAGAATACTTGACGAATTTGAGAGAGCATCATAAAGGTAAGAGGGAGAAGAGGGATAGTAATGTGAAGAAGGGAGATGTAGTTTTAGTATTTGACGAGAATCTTAAGAGAGGATTTTGGAAGCTAGGTAGGATTAAGAGTTTAATTGTTGGTAGAGATGTAGTGGTTCGAGGAGCAAAAGTGAGAGTGA